CAACGACAACAGCATACTCTACGCTAGCTAAATTTAGAACGTTATTCAGGAACTTAAGTAAGGAGGCATTTAGAGGGCTTTGCATTGCCTACTTGAAACCAATCTTAAATCGTCGACTAGCAACGGGTTCGATCCCCGTGGCAGGACAGAAGTATGTTGTCAACGTTTCCCCCTCATCTGATGCCATTGTTCACCTAGCGTCATGTGTGTACTCACCTAGTTGTGCTTGCGGGAATTGAGCTTCGGCTCTTTAGTCCCGCCTCTTAGCTGTCAATCAACCGGTTTACAGATTCCTGAGCCTATTGGGCTCCATCATATCTACATTTGAAACTGTGTATGGAGTCAGCCTCCACCACATCACTGCCTAATGCATTCCATTTGTTATCTACGCTGACTCTAAAAAAGTTCTTTCTAATGTCTATGTGGCTCATTTTGGTACTCAGTTTCCACCTGTGTCCCCTTGTTCGTGTTTCAACCGTGTTAAATAATTCGTCCTTATTAACTCTGTGTGTTTGTATTATTTATTTATTTATTTATATATATATATATATATATATATATATATATATATATATATATATATATATATATATATATATATATGACAATGTCAGACCACGGAGGAAAATGAAACAGGAATTTCCTTAAGTACTTTCGTATATTAAATACATCTTCAGAAGGAATACATCTTTGATACCTTCTGAAGATGTATTTAATATACGAAAGTACTTAAGGAAATTCCTGTTTCATTTTCCTCCGTGGTCTGACATTGTCACATTCTTAATCACGTGTTTATTTTCGTGATATACACACACACACACATATATATATATATATATATATATATATATATATATATATATATATATATATATATATATATATATATATATATATATATATATACTGTATATATATATATATATATATATATAATATATATATACTGTATATATATATATACTGTATATATATATATATATATATATATATATATATATATATATATATATATATATATATACAGTATATATATATATATATATATATATATATATATATATATATACAGTATATATATATATATATATATATATATATATATATATATATATATATATATATATATATAATGTTGGATATATATTTATATAATATAGGTTGCAGGTGGGTGTATGGCTAGAGGTTGTGATGGGTGTAGCTAGAGGTTATATGGATGTAATTAAGGGTTGTAATGGATGTACTAATGTCTCTGATGGATGCAACTTGGTGTGGTGATTTACAGGCCAATAGCTAGTATTGAGAATGGACTTGGCAAGTTGTGTTTTATGTGTGATTATTTTTGTGCAGCTGTGGTGGTGTTGCGTGTGTAATAAATATATATATATATATATATATATATATATATATATGTGTGTGTGTATATCACGAAAATAAACACGAGTGTTTATATATATATATATATATATATATATATATATATATATATATATATATATATATATATATATATATATATATATATATTAGGGGTACCACCTCTGGTGCAATTGCAGGGACCCACATCCTCGAAGAAGAAAACAAAGAGCATTCAGAGAAGATCTTGTGGATTCTCACTGAACACTTTTATCTTTTCCTCTCCTACCACCCCTATTATTTTTTTTGTATGTTTTGTTTTATTTTTTTTTATTTTATTGCAATGCTACAGTTTACAGAAAACACACACACACACACAAATATATAACAATTAAACAATCAGCGTTCGAAGACCTCGTCCAGCTCCTCGGAGGTTGGGTGCGTACCCAGGATACAGCACGCATTTCCCCTCTGAACTGCGACACTGAGGCGCTGGAACAGGAAACTGGCCGCTCGTGGGTCTCTAGTTTTCCCAATGAGTTCTTCACCCACCTCCTTTAAAAACTTAAGTGCACATTTACCCCAGGCGCCCAGAGTCTCAGAGCCTATCGGCACGAACCTGTAACAGCGTTCTAGGTCCCTGTACTTGTTGGTTTTCTGGGCCTCCCTGAAGGTGGCCGCCCCGCCTCCCTCCGCTGAGCTGTAAGTTAGATAGGTATCAGCCAATGTGGATGCACACATGTAGTCCCATACGACCTGTTTACCTTCCCTCCATGGCTGCAGGGTGACTTCACCTGGGCGTTTTTGGCTGTTGTCAGGTCTGCACAACTGAGATTCCCTTTGTGCTGGGCACCCATCTGTAGCCAAACTTCTCTTGATGTCATTGACTGCTTCATGTCTGGCAATCTTTCCCTGTGTCTTACGACAGATGAGACCATGGCTGCCGTATTGGTCTACTCGTGCATGGCCGCAGATACACCGGTGTTCGGTGGAGACAAAGGTGGCAAGGCGCATGTCAACACCATTAATTAAGGCCCGATGGTCCAGGCGGGTGCCTAAGGCGGAATTAGGGATTGCCAACAGTAAGTCCCCAGCATGGGGGGCTTGCACAGTTAGGAGACACGCTCTGTCCTTCTGAGAAGCTGCCTCCAGCAATGCTTTGGCGATGTTCTCCACTATGGGGCTATCCCATTTGGCCAGTTTACCGTCGTTTGAAAAAGTTGGTCGGGTGTGTGAATTGGCAAGAGTGTCCCACTGACCTGCTCCTTCCACAAATTTGGGATCACGAATCCCAATGGAGTTCCTTAGGTATTCTGGTAGTATTTCATTCACTAATTCACTTGTAGCATTGGTCGAGGATAAGAATGCCGGCAATGCTGTGTCGCCTTGCAAATACCTATACCCCCGAGTCTAACTGAGAGCGTTGCTTGGTCCCACTGGTCATCTTGCAGGGAGAGGTTTAACACTTTCATAGTTATTGTCTTTAGGAGTGAGTCGTATTCCGTTAATTTTGGACTGTCAAAGGAAGGAGCACACCTGAGGAAATAAGTAAGTCTGGGCAAGGCCAGGCACCTTGTAAGAAGGTACAAAGCATCGTGAGCATCCACAGCTCCTATTCTCGCCTCCATCCTCCTCAGGTCTTTAAGCTTTTCTTCGAGGACTACCTGAATGGCGTTCGAGCCCAGAGGTGCCCCTAGCAGCACACTGACGGTGGGAGCGATCACTGGGGCTCCTGGCAATAAGATTCGTACTGCATCTATGATTGGTTGGCTGGATGAGATGATTTCACACTTTGATGGATTTAGTATAAGGCCTAACTCCTCTCCCTTAGATTTCACTAGCTGAAGATCTCCTAGCAGGGACTCCTGTGTCCCTGCCAGGGTGCCATCGTCCAGGAACCAGATGTTGAATTCGCTGGACAACCTGCTTGTGACCTCTTTAGCTGCCATGCAGAAAAGGGGCAAGTGGGTCTCCCTACTGACACCTGCTGGACAGCTCATTCGCTGGACGACATATTATATATATATATATATATATATATATATATATATATATATATATATATATATATATATATATATATATATATAATATGAGAGAGAGTCCTTACTGACGTACTAAAGTGCCCTTATACTAACCTTCCAGAGGACCCAGAACAGAAACGGGAGAGTATGTCAATTTCGCGAGCCGCGACCATTTTCTACTTCGACAATTCATGGCCTTAGGTAGAGTATACGTCAAAATGCGACGTTCTATTAGGAGGACATTTTGTGTCATTACCATTAACCTCACCCCCGATTACTTGCAACCTCCCCCACCACTACTATCTACATATATTACTGTCAATATATACAACCTTCACAACCACTACCTACACCCATCACCACCAGTGTCACATATCGTCACCACCACCAACCACACATCACCCATACTCATCCCCATGAGAGTATACTGGTACACTATACGAGAGTATACTGGTACACTATACGAGAGTATACTGGTACACTATACGAGAGTATACTCGTACACTATACGAGAGTATACTCGTAGTTACCTGCTACACCCATCACTCGCAGTGTCACTCATCACTACCAATTATCACCAACCACATATCAACATCTACACTAATCACCTCTGCGACTAACAGTATCATCTTTCCCAAGTACCAGATAAACTCATCTGGACCAGGTATACTCATCAGCACTAGGTACACTTATCAGTACCAGGTATACTCATCATTCAGGCCAGGTACATCCATCAGCACCAGGTACATTCATCAGCTCTGGGTACACTCATCAGTACCAGGTACACTCATCAGCACCAGGTACACTCATCAGCACCAGGTATACTCATCAGCACCAGGTACACTCATCAGCACCAGGTATACTCATCACCGATGACGTCCAATACACAACTGTGGCACCATAGCCTAGTGTGCCACAGGATAAGTACCAAAGATATTATCATGATGCTGGCAATGTGAGATGATGCTGTGGCACTGGCATTGTGTAGTAATGCTGGCACTGTGAAGATTGTTGCACTGTGTAGTGGTGATGCTTGCACTGTGGGGGTGTGTTGTGGCCCTGTGTGGTGTTGATGATTGCACTGTAGGGTGTGTTGTGGCACTGTGTAGTGTTGATGCTTGCACTGTGCAGTGTGTTGTGGCACTGTGCAGTGTTGATGCTTGCACTGTAGGGTGTGTTGTGGCACTGTGTAGTGTTGATGCTTGCACTGTGCAGTGTGTTGTGGCACTGTGCAGTGTTGATGCTTGCACTGTAGGGTGTGTTGTGGCACTGTGCAGTGTTGATGCTTGCACTGTAGGGTGTGTTGTGGCACTGTGCAGTGTTGATGCTTGCACTGTAGGGTGTGTTGTGGCACTGTGTAGTGTTGATGCTTGCACTGTAGGGTGTGTTGTGGCACTGTGCAGTGTTGATGCTTGCACTGTAGGGTGTGTTGTGGCACTGTGTAGTGTTGATGCTTGCACTGTAGGGTGTGTTGTGGCACTGTGCAGTGTGACATGATACTGGATGAGGGAAGTTATGGCATCACTGTGTGGGGTGGCACTGACACTGGACAGGGATGGCACTTGTGTTGTTAGTGTGCTGTGGCACTGTGAGAGCGCAGGCCGGGAGGCGGGGACGTACCTCTGCCGTAGCCCTGCGTGTGCTTGGCGAAGCTGTTGACCACTGCGTCCACTGCCTCCTTCAGGATGGTTTTTGCTCGCTGGTCGTGTACGCCAGACGTGGCCGAGGGCGGCCTCTGTCCGCCAGCGCCGCCCGCGGCCCCGCCCTTGCTCTTGCCACCGCCACCGCCACCGCCACCACCACCGTGCACCAGGGAGGCGGGCGGCCGTGCAGACTGCATGCGACTGCTCATGGTGGCCGCCGGGTCGAGTGTTGCAGCAAGCAAGCAGCAGCCAGCAAAGACACTGCAGGCAGGGCGGGCCGCCGGCTCACTCACCGCCACAGACCAGAGAGGACTGACTGAGCTCCTCGTTCCACGTCAACCTTTATATGCGGTCACAATTAGTTGCGCTCATGGAGGTGCGGGAGCGAGTGTGAGCGGCCTCCTGCACCCAGACGCATCCTCACGACGTGACGAGCGCGGCGGGCGGCACCATACTACTCTTCAGCTGGCGCCGCGGTCCGCCCACCCTAATCCTCCGCCTCGCTAACTAGTTCCGACCTTCTATCTTAACTTTTTCTCTCACTTTCTCTTTACATTCACCTCACCGACGCCTCGCAGTGCAAGCCGGTTAATGATAAATAGTACAAAATCGCCTCAAAATCCAATGAGAAGGAGTAGAGGAAAGAAAACGAGAGGGAGGTGGTATAGTGGTGACCTGGGGGCCGAAGTGTCGCGCATGGATACCGGTGGTGCTGCCACCTCCCGGCGGCTGGCTCAACCATCCATGATGAGTTACGAGTGTGTGGCAGAGCAGACGAGGGGCGGTCGCGGATCGGCCGTCGCATCGTCACACGCCGCTACCGCTCTCACACGACGTCTTTACACATGTAAACCGACTCCTAAATACCAGCGGTCCCCTGGCCATTGTATAACAAGAGTAAAGTAAGGTGTAGAGACGAGTGTGGCGCCGACAGAGGGTGGCGACCACAACAAAGGAGACGATGAGCCGCACAAAGGAGACTGCCCACTGCAAGCACGCTGGCAGGTCGCTCCACACACAGACACCTCCAGTTTCCCTCTTCACACACGAACTTCACACTGTCTGGCCGCCACGTGCCTCGCCACACAACACCATCTCTCCCACACCACTGACACGGATGAATGTGAGGGTTTAGCGGAAATGGGCAAGTTTCCTGTGAGCCCACCCTGGAGTTGTCCCGGCCTGCCCCTCCAGGTGGCCACCACACCGACAGTGGCCACTCTGGCCAAGTTTCCAACCCATATAATCCAAACACCAGAGGATCAACCGCCCCTCCGAGACCCTTTCTAAGGCAGCCACAATAACCCACCCTTGCCACCCTCCAGATTTCAACGCGCAGGTAACAACCTATCTTCATCGCCAGACGTAATAATGTCATTGAATCCAGACAAGGAACTTGGCAAGGGTTGGTTGCCTCTCATGGTCATCCGGCCGCCACTAGCCGCCTCCACCTTCACCCTCCTCTCACACTACCACTACTTACATTCACACTACTTACCTTCACACTTGACAAAATAATCCACTTAAAATACCCAACCAATAGAAGCACGTGACTTAAATGTAATTAATGGCGTGTTTTCATTCACTTCACTCTACAAGTCATAAGCCTACATATATACATACTACACAAACACACACATGACCACACACAGGAGAACTTGGGAGTAGACATGACAACGAACTTATCACCAGAGAACACACACAATTCCAGTAGCATATGCTAAGCAGGCAATCATCATGACAACCTTCAGAAATCTAGACAAGGACGCTTTCAAATCGCTGTCTGCAGTTCATGTTCAGCCAGTGGTAGAGTAGGCAGCACCCTACCCATCCTTCCACCTCAAACAAAAAAAGAGATTGAGAAAGTAGAGATTTACTTCAAGACTGGTCCCATAATTGACGCGGACTTGCATGCGGAGATAAACAGAAGAAAAGGATCTAACGACACAAGAAGAGAGAGAGAGAGAAGACATGATTCAGACATGCAAAATACTTAGTGGTATCGATGATATAGTGATAGAATGTTCGGTTGACAGGACACGCAGGGAAGCTAGACACTGAGATGAGCCACAGGGATGCGAGGGATGAGCCACAGGGATGCGAGGGATGAGCCACAGGGATGCGAGGGATGAGCCACAGGGATGCGAGGGATGAGCCACAGGGATGCGAGGGATGAGCCACAGGGATGCGAGGGAAGAGCCACAGGGATGCGAGGGATGAGCCACAGGGATGCGAGGGATGAGCCACAGGGATAAGAGGCATGAACCACAGGGATGCGAGGGATGAGCCACAGTGATGCGAGGGACGAGCCACTGGGATGCGAGGGATGAGCCACAGGGATAAGAGGCATGAGCCACAGGGATAAGAGGGATGAGCCACAGGGACGCGAGGAATGAGCCACAGGAATGCGAGGGATGAGCCACAGGGACGCGAGGGATGAGCCACAGGGACGCGAGGGATGAGCCACAGGGACGCGAGGAATGAGCCACAGGGACGCGATGAATGAGCCACAGGGATGCGAGGGATGAGCCACAGGGACGCGAGGGATGAGCCACAGGGACGCGAGGAATGAGCCACAGGGACGCGATGAATGAGCCACAGGGATGCGAGGGATGAGCCACAGGGACGCGAGGAATGAGCCACAGGGACGCGAGGGATGAGCCACAGGGATGCGAGGGATGAGCCACAGGGACGCGAGGGATGAGCCACAGGGACGCGAGGAATGAGCCACAGGGACGCGATGAATGAGCCACAGGGATGCGAGGGATGAGCCACAGGGACGCGAGGGATGAGCCACAGGGACGCGAGGGATGAGCCACAGGGACGCGAGGGATGAGCCACAGGGATGCGAGGGATGAGCCACAGGGATGCGAGGGATGAGCCACAGGGATGCGAGGGACGAGCCACAGGGATGCGAGGGATGAGCCACAGGGATAAGAGGCATGAGCCACAGGGACGCGAGGGATGAGCCACAGAGACGCGATGAATGAGCCACAGGGATGCGAGGGATGAGCCACAGGGACGCGAGGGATGAGCCACAGGGACGCGATGAATGAGCCACAGGGATGCGAGGGATGAGCCACAGGGACGCAAGTGATGGGCCACAGGGATGAGCCACAGGCTGGGTTGCTGATAGAAATGTGAACCTTACCGCCACCAACCACAACAACTCTCAACTTACTCATGAGACGCTATTCTGACACCAAACCCCCCCCCCCTTCCCTACCTTTAAAGAGATACTGTCGTCTATACCTTCACAGCAGACTGTCAGACAGACGCACACTAGCAGACTGTCAGACAGACGCACACTAGCAGACTGTCAGACAGACGCACACTAGCAGACTGTCAGACAGACGCACACTAGCAGACTGTCAGACAGACGCACACTATCAGACTGTCAGACAGACGCACACTAGCAGACTGTCAGACAGACGCACACTAGCAGACTGTCAGACAGACGCACACTAGCAGACTGTCAGACAGACGCACACTAGCAGACTGTCAACCCCTACGAATTCAATATATAGGAAAGACAACAACGTCCCTTTCAGGGCGCCTGACAGCTGAGTGGACAACGCTTCGGATTCGTAGTCCTGAGGTTCTGGGTTTGATCCCCGGTGGAGGCGGAGAGAAATGGGCAAAATGTTTCTTTCATCTTGATGCACCTGTTACCTAGCAGTAAATAGGTACCTGGGAGTTAGACAGTTGCTACGGGCTGCTTCCTGAGTGTGTGTAACAAAAAAAGAGGCCTGGTCGAGACTGGGCAGCAGGGACGCTAAGCCCCGAAATCATCTCAAGATAACCTCAAGATAAGAGAAGGCGTCTAACAATGTATAAGCAGCAATGTCCTATTAAGGAATATATAGTCTCTATTCCTACCATCTGTGACATAAACCACTGTCTCCATGAATGATATATATAATATTTATTCTTCATTAATTAATGTGTTCTTTATTTACTTCGTTATTTAATTGTATATAAAGCACTGAACCTTCAGAAACCAGCAAAGAAAATGTGGCTGTAAGCTGGCCGTCAGTCTTCAGGAGAATACGGGAAGACAAGAAGACAGAAGGAGGGACAAGGGACAGGAAGGATAGTCAACCGGAAGGTCAAATGAGAAGACAAATATAACAAAATAGATATGTAACAAAAGCTGCGGCTCGGCATAAAATAGCAAAGGAAGAAAAACAAAAACCAGATGATAACATAGAGGTTACATCCTCTAGTTGTGTTTGGGGGAGCCCCTTATCCTCTTAGAAGAGAAGGTATAGCACCTTACGAAGCCTTGTGAGACTCGCCATTGCAGTCGCCTTCTCCTACCACCCCATTTGAACTTCTATAACCATATGCAAGAAGTACGCGGTAACACGACCGCGTGTTAACAGCTGAAAAAGTCTACGGGTCACAGTCGATTAAGGCTCGTCTGGGATCCTCTCGGACATAGGTTCGAGCCCTCATCACGGCCCTTGTGGATTTGTTCTACGGGTCTGACATCCTGACTTACAATGTTGGTGTTCTGTGATGATGGATCTTTTGACGCTACGATACTCCTGCCAGGACCTGACTCCTAACAATGGGATGCGAACGTGGTCCTTGTGGGCTCCAGCACGGGACGAGTCTGTCACAGCGAGCTCAAAGATGGGAAGCTTAGGTTATTGTGTTGTGGTCGACGCTGTGAACGAAGAGAGAGAGTGAGAGAGAATGAGAGAGTAAGAGAGTAAAAGAGAGAGTGAGAGAGAGAGAGAGAGAGAGAGAGAGAGAGAGAGAGAGAGAGAGAGAGAGAGAGAGAGAGAGAGAGAGAGAGAGAGAGAGAGAGAGAGAGAGAGGTCTGAGAGGGCAGCAGTGAGTGACCAGTGACCTGGATGGTATTGAGGAGATACAAGGGATTACTGAGAAACACTTCCCTAGTGGCTGAGTGGCTCGCGTGGCCAGCGCTTCCCTTATGACATGTATTAATACCCATTACACCCAGATCCATCATAATAATGACACACTGCGCCCGGCTCACAGCAATGGTGCGGGGGCGCATGTTTAGTACTTGCAAGCTGGAGAGACGAGAGTGGCTACTCGAGTTCAATCCCAGCAAAGGTAGTGAGATGAGGATGAGAAGAAAGGAAACCATAAGGTCGCGTAAGGAGAAGAGTAGAGCACGTCCCCAGTTTACCAGAAGATGGTAAACCACGGACGGCCGTGAACAATTATACTGCATAAGGAATCATTCAGAATATTGTACACAGCCTGTCAAAGCAATCCTAGAATATGCAGCACCGCCATGGCCCCCGACCTTGTCTAGACTCAAGAGCATTGAGAATGTACAGAGATGCAAAACTGATCTTCATATATATATATATATATATATATATATATATATATATATATATATATATATATATATATATATATATATATATATATATATATATATATATATATTATATA